TTCTCTTTTTTCTCAATTAAGTGAGAGTAGAAAATTTCTGTTTTTTCTCATTTTCACCGTATTAACAATTCTTCTTTTTTAATAAGAGTTTAAATTCTCAAATCAAAGAATAACCATACTGTAAAAGTTGTTCAATACCCAACATATTTTCATCTAGTTTTTTGACACATACTGTTAGGCATATAAATAATGAGGAAGAATGGAATATGTATTATAGAAGGAATGATAGGATATGGAAGGTTAATTGTAGAAGGAGAAATGAAAGTAAGTGGTGGAAAGGTAAGTGGATGCGGTGCTGTTGGTTGGGAGTTGGTCTGTATAATTAGACCAATCAGTTCCTTGGAGAGGAATTCTTTTGTATTGACAGTCTTTTGACTATGTGATAGAGGATATGCTGTGTGAAAGGAAGCTTTTCCTTTGTAAACTTTGGCTTATACAGCTAATAATAGTGAATAATTGAGTTTGGGAGTTTTTCTTCGTTCTTTTCAGTCTTGTTTTTCTCCTCACAGTTTGTTGTAAATCCATTTTTGTCTTTGCCTCCTTCAACACATTCTCCGTTGCCTAATTTAACTTTTGAGACAAATGAAGAATCCATGTTAAGAAAAACTTCTCAACCATTATATGATTGCTGCAGATTGTATCCAAATTGAGCACAAAATTATTTTTTCTTCATTATAGTTATTATTGTTTTTTGCCTTGGTTCGTTGTCTTGTTATTGAACATTTGCTATTCTGCACTGATACTTATTTTGCAATTCATTTGTATCTCTATCATTGTCCAGGAATCATATTCAAGGATATCCATCCATTCGAATCTTCCGTAGAGGAAGTGATGTCAGGTGATAAATCAATTGGTCAACCAGTGTTTGATGAAAAAATTCTACCTCTATTTCACTCTTTTGATTAACAGCCATTTTTCATCAACCAGTGTTTGATGAAAAATTTCAACCTCTATTTCTGTCTTTTGATTAACAGCCATTTACTTTATATGTTGCGTGTTATTTATGATTATTAATTCCATGTTATTAGCATTAATATCATTGTTATCCCTGCACAAACCCCAAAATATACAAGTCATGCATTTTTGGTTTTCTTCACCTTGGCTATTTTGGCAATAATGAACACTTGCTCTTGTGGCATCTGCTTATCCTTTTCAGGGTATTATATACTTAATTTTGTGGTTGTATTAAATTTTCTAAAGACCCTATTTTTAAAATTTGGCAAATTATGTCAACTTGTCTATTATCCTCATTTTTAAAATCCTCATTATTATTTTTCTATTCAAATTGAATATTTATGATGGAATTGGGATAAGAAATTATTTTAGAAGTTTAAAAGCTAGCAATTTAGTACAAACTTGGTTAAATTTCAAGGGTTTCGCTACAGTGTTTGGTTCTCCATTGTATTTAGAGGTCTTTCCATGGTAGTCAAAATTGCGATCCAAAGTGTAAGATTGTACGAGTTTTTACGATCTTTTTCTCCCTCTTCAATCTTTCTTTACTTAAAACTCGCGATTTTCACATAATGTGTTAGATTGCCGTTATACATCGCAACTCGTGTGGGAGCGGCGATTTTGGCGATGCAACTCCCAACGACGAGGGAGAAGCCAACAGAGCTCGTGATGGTGCTTCTCTCGTGGCCTTGTGTTGCAAACCCTCCTAGCGGTAAGGAAGAATAAGTGGATAGACCATGTGGCAACAATGAATATTCATAAAATAAACCCAAGTATATCTTGAATATTTATCAATGAAGGTAACAAAATATCTAAAACCAAAGGAGGAGAGACGACTAGGTCTCCATATATCAGAATGGATGATGGAAAAACTAGAATTACATATTGATTGAGACCTTTTAGGAAGAAAGATCTAACATGTTTTCCTAATTGACATGACTCATATTCTAAGGTCCGGAGACCACTAAGTTCAGGACACATCTTTTTTAATTTGGACAAATGAGGATGGTCAAGTCAATCATGTAGTAGTTTAGGATTAGGAGCAGCAACATAGGACACCCTTAGACGAGATCCAAAATGGTATAATCCGCCAGCTTCATATCCTTCTCCAATCTGTCTCCCCGAACCACGCTCCTGTATAACAAATGATTTGTGATCAAAGGTTATTAAACAATTTAACATTTTGGTCATTTGGCTTAGGGAAATTAAATTAAAAGGACAATTAGGAACAAAAAGAACAGAGTTGAGATTGAGGGAGGGAGACAAGGAAACATGACCGACTCCTTTGGAGGAAGCTATAGATCCATTTGCAAGGGTTATGAAAGGGTTATGAAATGAGGTTTTTCTCGAAAGGAAATAAATGAGAACAAAGAGGTATTACTAGAAATGTGATCAGAAGCACCTGAGTCAATTACCCATGAATTTTTACCTTCCATGGATTGAGAAACGCAGGCTGTTGATGTACTGGGAGATTAAGATGGTTGTTCCAAACTGTTAGACTTTAACCTTAAATACTCTTGATATTTATCCTCGGAGAACTTAGAAGTAGAAGTTTTAGTCTTCGAAGTAGAAGTTTCAGTCTTCGAAATATTGGCAGTTTTGGAAGGGAACCCATGTAAGGAGTAGCAATTCTCTTGAGTGTGACCCATCCTTTTATAGTATGTGCATTGAGGACGTCCCCGACCTCCTCGTCTTCCTCTTCTAGTGCCACGTCCTCCTCTTCCTCGTGTGGCAACCATGATAGATGGTTCCACTAGTTCATGCGCTTCCAGAGTTTGAGGTACCGGGACACGCAGAAGGCGAGTGGTCAATGTTTCCATGGAGGGGACCTCATGAATTGTCAGAAGTTGATCTCTGAGATGATTAAAATCTGGATGTAGGGCACGAAGGATGAACACCATGTAAAATTTGTCTAGTTTAATTTTGATATCCTCTAATGGGTCCGCTTCCAAAAACATGCTGAGTTCTTTGACAGCAGATTGGGCTTTAGCCATGAAGGACACCATATCACGGTCTACCATTTTCAGAGATGCAAGCTTGTTTGCAGTGTCATAGAGACGTTGAATATCGTTGACATAAATGCTTTGAGCTTTCGTCCAAAAGGAGTGACAAGTTTTGAAAGCCCTTAAAGATATAAGAAGTTTGGGTTCCACTGATTGCCATAACAGGGCACACAATTGGAAATCTGCTTGTTTCCACTGATCAACTTTTTTAGTAGGCACATGGCTTCCATCTTGCTCAAGGTGGTCATAATGCCCTTGGCCAAGGAACCACATTTCAATAGCAGCAGACCATGATAGATATTGTTTAGTCCTTATCAAACTTACGTTAGACGCTCTTATATCGTTTAAGCAGCTAAAGAGTAGCGTTTAGCACTTCTAATTATTTGTCCTAGACGATTAAGCATTATTTTGTTTAGACATATATGTTAAACTTCAAAACAAGGTTTGCTTAGACGATCTTATGTTAACAATATTTTGCTTCTTGGTTTTCCATGAGATAAGGTTTCTTTCGATAAGAATACAATACATTCAAAACATATACACTTCTATATGGTATCAATAGTTTAGGTTTTCGATCTGTTTTTTTTTTCTGTGTTTTAGATGAACAATACCGCGGCCACTATGTGCCCCTTTTCTCTAACACTGAGCATCTTCTTTCACTGTTCCGATCTGTCGCTGCAGTGCCCCCATGCGCCACCTATTCCCAGTGCGTCATTCAATCCGGCTGACCGTGCTCTAACGTAGCTGACCGGCGTTATGATCTTCCAATCTACGATTTATATTTTCCTTTCCAATCTTGATTAAGATCTCGATTTTGACTACCTTGGGTCTTTCAATTCTGTGTCATATCTCTATGATGTTTCGCACATCCTGGCTACTGTGTACCATACTGGTTCATGATTAGAGTTTTAACGTTTTGGATATTTTTATTTATTTTAATTTGTTGAATTCTTTTGCAATTTCAGAAGTGAACATGGGCATCACGAACACGAGTCCTATTATGGCGATCGTGATACAGAAAGCCTTGTCCAGGTTCATGCTATATTTGTTTTAAATTTACATATTTGAATCAGTTGACTTAATTGTTTTAATAATGTTATTAAACTTCACTTTCTTCCTACAGTTTATGGAGAGTTTAGTTGCATCTCTCCCAACAGCATCTCAAAAGCCAGCTCTGGAAGATAAGTCTAATGCTGCAGAAAATGCAAAAAGGCCAGCACCATCAGCGGGTGGATGTAGAATTGAGGGATATGTGCGAGTGAAAAAGGTAAATGCCCAAAAGGTTGATGTTTAACCTTCAACAGTTATTTATAGCAAAATTCGTATTTTGTTCCATAGTGTTTATATATAATGGTCAATGGATTTCTTGTTTTGTTTTCTTTTGCTTTTTCTAGAAGCTTCATTTTGTAATAGTAAAATTTCTAAAATAACTAGTTCTTTTTTTCTAAGATTTCGAAATGTAAATCTGTTTTGCAATTTGCAGGTTCCAGGAAATTTGATCATCTCAGCTAGATCTGATTCCCATTCTTTTGATGCTTCTCAAATGAACATGTCACATGTCATAAACAACTTGTTTTTTGGAAAGAAAGTGACGCCTAGGGCCATGAGTGATGTGAAGCTCTTGATACCATACATAGGTAGCAGCCATGATAGGCTCAGTGGCCGGTCATTCTCTAATACTCGTGATTTCGGAGCAAATGTTACTGTAAGTGAAATATTTTATATGAAAAACAGAAAAACTTATTATTGTTAGTTGGATATTCAGTATACTACTAGAAGCTCTTTGAAGATTATAGAGATCTTTATATAATTATTATTATAGGGTTAGAGTTCTCTATTTATAGAGGCTGCTGTATTGCTTCAAATAAATCAATTGAATAAAAGTCTTGTTTCTTTCATATTAATGTTTTTAAGTTGGTATTAGAGCTCCCGACCTTCAGAGTCCTGCTTCCGTATTTCTTCTATACCATCTTAGTTATGGTTCTTTTTAGGCTTGCTAGATGTGCACTCATTTCCTTTAATTATTGGGGTTGCCTGAAGTGCATTCAAGCGGTTTTGACACTGCTGCCCCAACCAGTGCCATCCACCAAAACTGTCGTCAGAGACACACTGGAGTTGTCGTTGGAGATTTTTTCAGAGTCATTGCTAAAGCATTGGCC